GTGTACATATAATATGTAAATAGCTATACATGTCAAAATAGAATGATCTGCATATATTCAAGTAAGCCACACACAGTACAAATTATGAAATATTATTAGCTCTTGTCTCCCAGTTCCAATATTTATGACTTGTTGTAATGCCAAGTTGAAGTGTTAAATTAGTATATGTATGGTGCAGTAAACAGAGAAAACTGACCCACATAATCAATTGAGTATAATAAAAAATTGAGGAACTTCAAAGAATATTGTCCTATTTTATTATAATTTATAGGCATAAGCTGTTACCTAATGTCATTTGCTGAAATAAGGACTAATCTTGATTTTCATCACAAGAATTGTTTGAAAAGTGTAATGAATGTATATTTAAATATGAAAACAGATATTCCTATTATACTAGACATTTTCTCTTTTACCAGATCCCGTCTTCCCCCTGGAATGCTGAAAGAGTACAAGAGTCGTTATCCATGGTTCACTGAGGAACATTACATAAAGCCTCGAACTCGTCTTGCAAATCATCAGCGACGCTTGCGGCATAAATCCCTAATTCCCAAAGTGGTTCGACTTGCTGATCCATTCGAAGCTCCAAAACCAATAACTTTTGTGCCTACCCTGGATAGATCACCCAAACGCATCATCAGAAGTCGTAAATGTCATTGTGGGTTAAGTAATAACAAAAAAATATGTTGCCATGAGAGAGTCTTGAAATTCTTCAGAAAGCGAGAGATATCATATCTGAGTAGTAGTGATGATGAAGTGTTTCCACATATCTCAAAGAAAAGAAAAAAATGTAAAAAGAGAAGTAATACTTGACATAGGGAGGATACTTGTCATTTTACTCACTGTTTTTATAGATTTGTTATATGCTGCAGTTAAAAACTGCTTTTATTTTATGAGGAAATAAAGTATATCTAGGAAAAGGAATTTTTAAACAATAGAGCACATCAGAAAGTTAGAAGAAGAATTTTTCCAATACCAAAAAAATAAAGAAAGACATTTAAAAAAAATCTAGTTATCCAAAATATTTGTTGCTCACCTTAATGAAATGAATGTATTGATCTTCTCTTTCTCATTTACTTTCTTTTTCTCCCCCCCTCCTCTTCCTCCTCCTCATTATTATTATTATTATTATTATTATTATTATTATTGTTGTTGTTGTTACGTTTATTATTGTTACTATTATTATTATTATTATTATTATTATTATTATTATTATTATTATTGATATCATCATCATCCTCATTATTATCGTCACTGAAATCATTATCATTAATATTCTTTTGGTATTATAAGAAACATATTATTATTATGATTGTGGTGAAGATCATATTTATTAATATTATTACAATTTTATTTATTTATTTTTAGTATTACTATTATAATGATGATAATGCAGAGGAGGGTTGTAAATGTACAATAGACAAATAATATTTATTTATCTTTGTTTTCCCTTTTTTATTCAGAAGTATTCAGTGATAAATTTATTGAATTCAGTTACAGTAAAGCCTTTCATTTGGCAAGTAATTAGTACTGAAAAACTGACTAAATATGACTAATTAAACAAATGGACAACATATAATTGGTCCTGGAGTTTCTATATAGTTTTGCTTGTGTGGCACTTAAATCTCATTTTTTCTGCATTTCAATCTCAGATACCATGGTATCTAGACAATTGATAGGTTTCTTCTTATCTTCATCTTTTTTTAAAGGATGATGAGAGGGATGTTATCTGTGATCATTTGTCTCCAGGTGTGTCTCACATAGAGCTATCTCTTCTTTTCCATGCATTACTCATGCTTCTTACATTTGGGTGTTTACTTGTACATACCTTTGACAGTATGACAGGAATTTACACCCGACCAAACATATTGAGTAAATATTTGAATCACTGCTAATAAATGCATTTAGGACATGATGATTACATTTCAGTACTCAACAGAAGGAAACAAGATTCTTAAATTTGATTATAGTATGTTACTTTTGTCACCTGTGCAATTTGATCAGCAAATGTGATGGTTATCAGTTGGTTCAGTCTCCAAATGTGAATATGCCAAATGTGGGGCTTTATTTCCACATTATTAGTTTTTTTCAATTGTATAAATATTTTTTTTAATCATAAATGTTATTAATTTTGTATTTACTTTTCTGATATTAATTTTTGATGGGCAACCTGTCAATAAACTTACCTTTTTAAATAAATATTTACCAAAGAAAGGTCACTGGGATGAACATTTTCTGTAGAATCTGGATTTCTGATTTTTTTTCCTTTTCTTTTTTTTTCTAAACTCAAAAGATGGATTTGTTTTTTTTACAGAATTATTGATATTTCATTAATATTTTTTTTTTCTAATCCTAAGTTCACTTAAGATTCTGGAGAGCCATCAGACATAAAGTTATGGAACTATAGATACGTATGAATGAAAATGAAAATAAAAGCACAAATTTGGGTCAGTCTTTTTTAGAAAAAATATTTAAATAAATATTGATGAGCCTCATTTTAGTA